AGCCCAATGTGGGGCTCAGACCCACTATCCTGAGGTCAAGACCTGAGCTGATACCAAGAGTTGGATGCTCAACAGACTGAGCCACCCAGGCGCCCTACTAATCACTCTTTCAAAATAACCTGTTCTAATAGGTCTTGCTTTTGTAGAAAGATGGTTAAATGTCTGTAGCACTTGTTATATCTTGGTTATTTGCAGTAAATTTGAGGGATGCTGTAAATCATGATAGTATTATTTTACAAGGGAAGAAACAGGTCCACACAATCTATTTTTAACAATCCAATCTTTAAAAGAAAATGATTTCCCATCCCCCATTATATAGGGACAGTATTGAAAACTTGGAAAATATTGGAAAGATCAAAAGGGAGAAAAAGAGCACTCAGAGAACAAAACCAACTATTATTAACATTTTCTTCTCTATTTTTCCTTTTTTAAATATGCATATTGGTTATGTCACTATATAGATGGCTTTTATTCTGGTTTTTAAAAACCATTACTGTAATAAAGCATTCTATTCTCTCATTAAAAACTTTTCATAGTTTAGTTTGAAATTTTTCTGAAATGTCAAACATTTTTTATTTTAAAATTTTTGTCAATAAACATAATGGGTTAGGGGTATGCATTTTTAAAGGCTCCTAATAGATACTGTCACATTGTTTTCCAGAGGGTGAGCCAACTCTTTTCAGAGTTTAAAAATTCCCTTTATAAGGCTGTAAAGTATAATGAGTATGATCGTTAGAGGCACAAAGTAAGCAAAATAGTACATCTATTTTGGAAATTATTCAATATGGCCTCTTCCTTTTTGTCATTTTCCACCTGTTTGAAGTTTAACTGCTCTTATTTACTATAACACAGGTCTGTTTTATTTTATGGTTCAGAGACAAACACATTTATCAGAATGTGATATACTAAATCACTGTTTGTGGTTGATCTTGTCTCAATAGATTTGGGATAAAACCAGCTTGGAATGTTTGAAAGTGTTAACAGGACACACTGGCTCTGTCCTTTGTCTCCAGTATGATGAACGTGTCATTGTGACTGGTTCTTCAGACTCTACAGTGAGGTGAGTGATTTGGCTTCACTGGTCTGAACTTACATATCTTCCATGAGAAGACTGAGATTGCACCCTTTTCTGGGATAAGCACACACATACTTTGTATATGTTTTTGTATGCTGTATTTTCAAAACCACTTTAGGTGTAGGTTTATTTGAACAAAGTAGGCTGGAAAGACCTACTTTTGTTAAGTAGGTCCTATTCCTGTTGCTGTATGTTACAGAGATGGCAGTGTACTTTTTGTATAAAAGCACATTACCTAGTGTTAGGCTAGCTTTTTCCTGGGAGACCATGCTCCAGACATTTGAAAAAGTCACCAGCATGCTTAGTATCCTTTCTCGGACTCGGTGCTTTTAGGCCTACTTTTGCCATATAAGCCTGCGTCTTTCCTCCTTTGCTCTGTGTGAACTTGTCCTCTTGGGAGATTGGGTTTACAGAAAAGCTATGGCATGAAAGGGCTGCCCCTGAGAACCCTGTATGTCGTGGATGAAGCAGTAGGGATACTGGCTTTGTCCATAAAACAGTTGGGTAAATAGATGAGTGTGGAAATTGATGAGATGTCATGACTTATAGTCTCTAGTTTGCAGTGGATAAATAGACTCAGAGGCCTGTCAAAGGTCAAGAAGAACCTTAAGCTTGGGAACTGTCCTCAATTCCCCAGCTGCCAAGCCGCCTTCCCCCTGTCATCTCAGACTCCCTGCAGAGACCACCTACTTGAAGAATCATTTTTGTTGTCCTCAACACAAGCTTACAGGCACTGTCCCTGAATACCTAACATTAAATTAACCTAAACCTGGGCAGAGCCAGGATTGGCCTTCCTTTTTTGAAACCCTCTCAGTACTTCTCAGCAAATCGAATAATTGCTTCTGGGGGCTCCTTTTAAGCATGATCTTAGGTGTCAGATCCCAGTCATCAAATACAAGTGAAGCTTACACCTCCCCAGCCTCCTGCTAAGAATGGGCCCAGGTACAGATGCTGGACTCTTTTCCTGGTTGTTTTAACAATAACTCATTGGGCTTTTCTGTTCTCATCTAGAGTCTGGGATGTGAACACGGGTGAAGTTTTGAACACATTGATCCACCACAATGAGGCTGTACTGCACTTACGCTTCAGCAATGGACTGATGGTGACCTGTTCCAAGGACCGCTCCATTGCTGTGTGGGACATGGCTTCTGCCACTGATATCACTTTACGCCGTGTCCTGGTTGGCCACCGCGCTGCTGTCAATGTAGTAGACTTTGATGATAAATACATCGTGTCTGCCTCTGGTGACAGAACCATCAAAGTGAGTGTGTTTTCAGTCATAACTCTGCTTACTCCTGTCCCTATTAGAACACAGAGAAAGTAGAGGTGGCTTTTACCAACCTGGTACCTGGCAAGATCTTTATTCTCCTCCATTTGTGCTTGATCCCTTGAGGCAATCCCATTCTCCATGCTTCTGGAATCATAGGCAAGATAGGAGGAAAGGGTCATGGGTCCAGGATACAGAGCGGCCCTCTATTGCATGAAATGACACTGTTGATCACATTTTTAAGGGGAAGAGAACTAACGTGTGGAGTATGTGCTGAGTGCTAGGAGATTTTCATTTCTATGTCACTCCATCTTTTCCAGCACTCTGCTGAGGTAGGTATTGCCTCCATTTTACAGAGGGGGCTCAGAGAGTGAAGAACTGGGCCGACCACATAGTGAGTTAGTGGCAGAGCTGAGATTTGATTTATTCATTATTCACTTAATTTTGAGAACCTGCCATGCCATAGACCCTGGGCTGGATGCTGCAGATACGATAATGAATAAGACACATTCCTGCCTTCGGGAAGCTCAGCGTGTGGTGGGTGGCAGGCATGAGACAAACAGTTGTAGTCTAGGGTGATTCATAGGATGTGGTAGATGCACTGATAGCAGTATCCATATTTTTTAAATTTTAGTTCTGTTTTTATAACAACTCTATTGAGATATAATTCACATACCATTAGATTCACCATTTAAAGCCTGTGATCCAGTGGCCTTTAGTATAGTCACAGTGTCAGCCATCACTAGTTTGAGAACATTTTCATTGCCCTCTGTAAAGACCTCATACCTGTTGACAGTCAACCCCCATTCTCTTCTCCTGGTCCCTGGCAGTCACTAATCTACTTTTTGTCCATGGACTTGCCCCTGCTAGACATTTCATATAAATGTAATCATATGATATGTGGCCTTTTCTGTCTGGCATCTTGCACTTAGTTAGTGTTTTCACGGTTCATCCATGAACATTGTAGCATGTATTAGTACGTCATTCTCGTTCTAATGACTGAATGAAATTCCATTGTGGATGTACCACGTTCCATTTGTCCACTCATCAGTTGATGAACATTTTGTTGGTTTGCACTTTTTATTTGTTATGGATAGTGCTGCCATAAGCATTTGTGTACAAGTTTTTGCACGGACATAAATTTTCAGTTCTCTTGAAGGTAATTCTGGGTCTAACATTTTGAGGAACTGCCAAACTTCTTTCCAAAGTGGCTACACCATTTTAAAATCCCACCAGCAATGTGTGAATGTTTGGATTTGGCTCAAAAAACCTTTTTGTAAGCAGCACTAGTTAGCATTCTAGTGTCTAGTTCCTAGCCCCACAAATCACAAAGGTAGCATCAAACTTTAGATTCAGTGGTCTGGAAGCTGGACAAGTAGGGTTTGTATGCAGTCATTGACTCACCGCTCAGTCACACCAATTGGAACGAGATCACTGCCTGGAAGTCACGAGGGTTCGGGCCTTTTTACAAAATAGCTGATTCATAATATCAGCCTGGAGAGTTTCTCCATATCCTTGCCAGCACCTGTTATTGTCTGTCTTTTTTATTACCGCCATCCTAGTAATTGTGCGGTGGTATCTCTGGTTTTGGTTTCCATTTCCCCAGTGACTAATTATATTGAGCATCTTTTCAGTGCTTCTTGGCCATTTTTATATCTTCTTTGGAGAAACAGCTATTTAAATCTTTCACTTAAAAAATTGGATTTTTTTTTTTATTGTTTAGTTGTAAAAGTTATTTATATGTTCTGGTTACAAGTCCCTTATCAGGTAAATGATTTGCAAATATTCTCTTCTATCCTGTGAGTTCTCTTTTCACTTTCTTGATGGTGTTCTTTGAAGCACAGATGACTTTCATTTTGATGAAGTCCAGTTTATCAGTTTTTTGTATTTTGCTTGTGCTTTTGTTGTCATGTCTAAGAAACCATTGCCTAATCCAGGAGCACAAAGATTTACTCCTGTGTTTTCTTCTGAGAGTTTCATAGTTTCAGCTCTCACATTTAGCCCTTTGATCCATTCTGAATTAAATTTTTGTGTATCGTGTGAGTTAGGGGTCCAACTTCACTCTTTTGCATGTGGATATCTAGTTATCTTCTTCAACTACAAATGCAGCTGGTAAAGTAATTCAGGGCACTTTGGTTGCTTTGCATCTCCTTATTTGGCTTGTAATATATTAAGTGTGTCTGTGAACATCTAAGTCTTGCAGATGGTTTCACAAAAGAGGGATTATTTATTCCACATACATAATATTAGGAGTGATGTGTCAAAACAAATGGAGCTGTTCAAGAAACTATGCTGGAAAAGAGGAGGATGTGAAAGGTGAAACTTTTTCACATCAGTTACATTGGATTTGACATGTCAGCTGGCATGAAAACATAAAATCTGGCCCACACTCTTCCTTCTAGGCAAGTGAATGTCTGAACCATCCAGGAGATGTTCTCTTTGTGAATATCTCAAGGTTTGGAGACTTCACAGCTTCCCTCTGTGTTTCATTCCTGTTTTATCACTCCACAGCCAAGAAAACTATATGCTGGCCAATCTGTCCCCCAGCCTCTGAACCATATTTCATAGTCAAGTATTTTGGTCATTCTTAGAGGCTCTGATTTTTTTTAAAAGGTGTGTTGTGAGGGGACTTTTCTGCATTTTCTTAAAATATTGCTAATCTGTTCTACAGGTCTGGAGCACGAGTACCTGTGAATTTGTTCGTACTCTGAATGGGCACAAGCGAGGCATTGCCTGTCTCCAGTACAGGGATCGGCTGGTTGTTAGCGGATCATCAGATAATACCATAAGGTGGGTAGAAGTTGGTGTGCTGACAGGGCAGGCCGATTTTTGCCATATTTTTGACTCCTCTCCCAGTCCCGAGGTTTGAAGGACTCCGAGCCTTTGGGGATACTTCAAATAAGAGAAACTTTTATTAATCTGTTTGGCTCTGCATACTGAAGCGGGTAAACTGATTCCCCCAGTACACATGTTTTAAACATCAGCTCCACCCAAGATCCCTTAATACCAGAAACCCTCAGAACAGAGGACGCTCTAGCCTGATTCTCAACTTTCCCTTACTTATAGCTCCTGTCTCCCTCACTAACAGCTGGGAGGAGTGTACTTTATTTATCTGTCTCGTGCAGAGACTGTGCTACAGAATCTCCACTCTTGTTTTGTCTTGTATTTTATCTCCCTTTTTTCCTTCCAGCACTCAGTGACCTTGCTTTCTAATAAATATGACTATCCTTAAACATTTTATTTATTAAGAACTTCCCTTAGGGGCGCCTGGGTGGCTCAGTTGTTAAGCATCTGCCTTCGGCTCTGGTCGTGATCCCAGGGTCCTAGGATCGAGCCCCGCATCGGGCTCCCTGCTCCACGGGAAGCCTGCTTCTCCCTCTCCCACTCCCCCTGCTTGTGTTCCCTCTCTCTCTGTGTCTCTCTGTCAAAATAAATAAATAAAATCTTTAAAAAAAAAAAAAAGATCTTCTCTTAAATGTCTATTCATCAATCTTTAGTCATTTTCCCATTGTCCTAACATATGCCAGTAGCTTTTTTATAACCAAATTGTTTAATGTTTGGGTAAAATAAAGATTGGATTCAAGATAATTTTTAAAAGAAGGAAGGAAGGAGGGAATGAAACCACAACAATAGAGCTGAAACTGCTGTGAGTTTTCTTTTATCATTTTAAGGTTTAAGGTATTCTGCAAGTCATGTGAGAACCTGAATCTTCGCACTTTGTATTACTTAACTATTTCAGTAGTAGATAGTCCTTAATTTTCTCACCGGACTCTCTGAGGTTTTACAGAGTAGTAATGTATATTCCTTTATAGTTTATAGAGGGGGCCACTTTGGAGTCAGTGGCACTGCTGAATGGCTCTGTTCACAGTAGATTAGAGAAGCCATCATCACTGACACTGATGAGAGTATTTGCTGAGGCTGGCTGTGCTCAAATACTCACGGGGTGGATGGTAAGAGCTACTGGTAGAGAGGCTAAGAAAAGGTTGTTACAGAATTAGTTTGCTAACTTTGTTTTCTAAATGTTAGTTTGCTATGATTTCTTTTGGCAGACAATGTAGAAAAATCAGTAATAGAAAAATGTAAAAATCTCAGTTTTCAGAATTGTTGTATATAAATCAGATACCAAGAAAAAGGCTGGATGTAGTCTATGGGTTTATATTTCTTTTTTTTTTTTTTTTAAAGATTTTATTTATTTATTTGACAGAGGGATCACAAGCAGGGGAAGTGGGAGAGGGAGAAGCAGGCTTCCCACCGAGCAGGGAGCCCGATGTAGGGCTCAATCCTAGGACCCTTGGGATCATGACCTGAGCCGAAGGCAGACGCTTAACGACTGAGCCACCCAGGCGCCCCCTTTGTTTTTTTAATTTATTTTATTTATTTTATTTTTTTATTTTTTAAAGATTTTATTTATTTATCTGACAGAGAGAGAACAAGTAGGCAGAGAGACAGGCAGAGGGAGAGGGAGAAGCAGGGAGCCCGATGTGGGGCTCGATCCCAGGACCCTGGGACCATGACCTGAGCCGAAGGCAGACGCGTAACGACTGAGCCACCCAGGCGCCCCCTACGGGTTTATATTTCTGAGACACTTCTTGTACCTAATGAGAGGCTCCCATTGTGACCTCAAAAACTGGACAACCCTAGTATGCAGGATTATCTAGAAGGGGTGTCCCTAAGCCTCATCAGGAGAGAAGGGCCACCATGCTGGTGCACTGGTTCTAACTTCAGTGGGCCTCATGGATTCCAGGCCAGAAGTGCCTGGGGTGGAAGCCTAACCCCCCTGGCTATACATATTATATCCTCACCTGACCCACACACATACATGCCTTTTCTTCTTTACTGCCTGTAATCTGTGCCTCCCCCAGAAAAGTCCTTGTTACACCATTTGGCTACATGGTTTCATCAATTCAGACATCAAGAGAATGCCTAGGAACTAAATTTAATTGAAGTTTCTTATTCGTTGATCTTATTTAAATAGTAATACATGCATGTGATTAAAAAAACTGAATAAGGAAATACAATGAGAAGTAAGGCTTCTACCCAAATTAGTGTTTTTTGTTGTTTTTTTTTATTTATTGAAGTAATTTCTACACCCACCGTGGGGCTCAAGCTCATGACCCTGAGATCAAGAGTCACATGCTCTTCCAACTGAGCCAGCCAGCCGCCCCTCAAATTAGTGCTTTAAAATATACAAATGGTATAAATGTACATACATATCTTTCTACGTGGATAGCATGGACTGGGAGTGAGATAGAAACAAAGAAGTCCAGGAGAGTGAAAATCACGTATGGAACAGATACAAGGAACTCAAGGATAGTGTGAATCATGTGTGGGAAGTTGTTTCACAGAGATCTGTTTTACTTCCAAGGCTATGGGATATCGAATGTGGTGCCTGTTTAAGAGTCCTAGAGGGACATGAAGAATTGGTCCGATGCATCCGGTTTGATAACAAGAGGATTGTCAGTGGGGCCTATGATGGGTATGTATTTCAGATTTTTAAATGCACTGCTGTCACTGTATCTAGAGGGAAAACGAGCACTGTACATTCAGCAGCTATGTATGTGCCAGTTCTGTGTTAGATCCTTCCTGTGGTGACGGATGGCAGATGTTACTACACTGCCTGGTCAAGTGAGGCCACTCAGGCCCAGAAAGATGACTGGTCTTGCCCCAAGTCCTCCAGTAGCAGAGCCTCTGTAACTCCTATGCTTACACTTTTAACCATTATTGTAGATTTGGGGAGTAGCTTAGGTTGTGCAGGAATTCAGTTCTTAGCCTTAGCCCTATTAATTAAGCCAGCTGTGTGTGTGTGTGTGTTCAGTGATACATTTCCTTTCCCCGTTTGTTTAATTGAACAAATACTCTTTAAAAAGCCTCATGACTTTAAATGAGCAAATGGCAACTGTAAACCTTTCAAGGTGACCTTATGTATACTTCACAAATGGACTAGTTGGTCTGTTTATGGTCCTATTATTAACTTAGAGCATTTGCTTAGTTTGAAGAAAGGTATCCCTGGAATTTCATGGAGAGCCCTAGCTTCTGTCAGCAGCACCTACTCAGCCCCAGAGAGCCCCCTGATTAATGAATTTGGTGACATAGATTATCAAGTCAGGAACTGAATTTAGATAGCCTGAAGTTGTTTTCTTGTCTCTCTGAAAAAATATTTCTTCACAGTTTCAGCAATTCTGAGAATGTGGAGGTCCTTATTTTTTTCCCAAATCAAGTGTTGTTGGTTTAAATAACTTGTAAAAACATAAGCATGTTCTCCATTCGCTTTTCTAGTAGCAGTTCAGATGCACTCCTTTCTGTCAAAGGAAGTGCTTGACAGTACATAAAATAGTAACTTTTCTACTAATTGCAATTTCCTTTTCTTTTCTAGGAAAATTAAAGTTTGGGACTTGCAAGCTGCTCTGGACCCTCGGGCCCCAGCAAGCACTTTGTGTTTGCGCACGTTGGTGGTATGTAATCTATTGAAATGAGAGCGGTTCTTGCGCTGGAGGATGTCTACCTGCAGATAGCCCTGCCTAGGTGTATCACAAGAAAGCTGTGTATCTCACAGTGTGCCTTCAGAGAAATGCACCGTTTTGTTCATTTTGTTTAGCCAAAATCAGAGAATACTTGACATTTACATTACGGTGAGCTCTTTCCTAAGGAGCATTAATACAACTTAAAATGTGAAAGCAGGAATCCTCATTTGTAGGTGGATTGGTTTCTTCATAGAGCACAAAATATTTCCTTCCTGTAGATTTGGGAGATTTCTTAATTGTGGGTATCTGGTTACATTATATTTTTATAATACAGCACATGTTTGTATTATTATGATGGAATTTCCCCTCAGTCTATATTGTCTGGATTATTGCTTTGGCATATAAAAATATTTTATTTTTATATGTTAATCTTGCTTTAGCAACTTTGGCAGGCTCATTATTTCTAATAGGTTGGTTTTGTTCCATTGATGAGGAGACAGTTGTTTGAAAATACTGATAGATTGTTCTTATTTTTAGTAGGTTTACCTTTGATTTTGGTTTCTTCTTGCAGTGATTAGAACATGCAGAACTATGGTTAGGGCCATTCTTGTTTTCTTCTTGATTTTAATGAGAATGCTTCTGTTTCACCATTAATTTTGATTTTGGCTGTGGTTCAGATAGATGTTCTTGGTAATGTTAAAAACATTATCCTTCTGGCTCTGCTTTTTACAGTGTATCAAGCATGGGTATTTAATATTGTTGTTTACCTTTCCAAGATCCTTGGTGAAGCGATCACATAGTTTTTCTTCTTTGACATATTAATGAGCCAGGATCTCAGATACAAAGATTAATTCAAAGAAAAAGCTTAGAAGGAAAAGCCAAAGTATTTGCTCCTGGGGTGAAGGACAAAGCTCAGTAAACTCTGGAACATTATTTAGGAAGCATGGATAAGTAGCTGCATTTTCAGCCTGTGCCAGGTCACTGATAGTGAGATCTGAGGGATTGTAAAGGTCTCATTTTACTCATCAGTTTGTTATATTTCACAGGAACATTCTGGACGTGTGTTTCGGCTGCAGTTTGATGAATTTCAGATCATCAGCAGCTCCCACGATGACACTATTTTGATTTGGGATTTCTTAAATGTGCCTCCCAGTGCCCAGAACGAGACCCGTTCTCCCTCCAGAACATACACTTACATCTCCAGATAACAGTCTGCACTTTACCCGTTTCAGGTGAGTACCTCCCCATGTTTAATCTTGCTCGTTGAATTCACCTTCCCTTTGGGGCAGCATTGTGATTTGGGTTCCCCGTTGGTAGGAACCGAGGTGGTTAGTTAGTGTTTATTAGCTGCCTCAGCTTTGCAGAGTTCCAGTATCAGGCTAGATCTTTATAGTCACATTGAAATAAGGTTGAAATTGGAATCCTACATATTGGGGATTTTCACACTGGCAGACAATGTGATTCCTGTTTTTTAAAACTGTTTTCCTAAATGGTTTCCTAGGTCATATCAATTTAATGCAGGTAAAGTCATTCAAATTCTGTTTAAGGGTGTAGGAATCTCCTTTTTCTCTTTCCTGTTTTTCAGTTCTTTTATTTGAAAAGAAAAAAATCACCATCAACCGAACACTCAAAATTCTCCCTCTGCCCCTGTTATAATCCACCCACCACCACTGTTCACTAGAAGAGGGATCAAAGAAAGGTGTTTGTTGAGACAGGCCCTAAAACCCGTTCTTCATCCATTAGACACAACAGGTACCCTGGAAGCAGAGCCCTTTGCTCTGGTTACAGGAAAACTTAGAGCCATTGTAACCATTGATGATGGCATGTTTTGATTACTAAGGGTGTCCAACCTAGAGGATGAGAAGCCTTACTTGGCTGTGTCCTGGGAACCGATGGCCCTGTTCATCTGGAGCAGTATTTCCAACTCTGAAAATTTTGCAAGGGGCCAATAAATTCTGTGCATGTTAAACTTTGCAGATGGAATAAATATGTTTGTACTTATCTGTATTACTGTGTATTTATGTATGTAAAGACTGATTAATAAAATTCATATTTATTTTAAAATGTTACTTAATACTTAGTGGCTCTTTATCATTACATATTTTCCCGTCCATTAAATATTAAAAGTGTAAAGGAAGTTTATGTGCAGAATTGTGAGATTCTTTTTGATGAAAAGATAGGGTTCCTAGATCACCAAGTTACCATTGTTTCTAATATTTCTTAAGACTCTTAAGACTGAAAACACAGATGTCCAGGAAGTTTGTCTTACCCAAGGGTAAGCCGACTACAGCCAGAGGCCAAATTTGTTCCACTGCCTGATTTTATTCCCCTACCGTAGCAAGCTAAGAACAGCTTTTTACACTTTCAAATAACTGAAAAAAATTAAAAGAAGAATACTATTTCATTACACATGAAAATTATGTGAAATTCAAATTCTAGTGTCCATAAATAAAGTTTTATTATAGGGACACCTGGGTGGCTCAGTCGTTAAGTGTCTGCCTTCAGCTCACCCGCATCAGGCTCCCTGCTCGGCGGGAAGCCTGCTTCTTCCTCTCCCACTCCCCCTGCTGTGTTCCTACTCTCGTTATCTCTCTCTCTGTCAAATAAATAAACAACATCTTTAAAAAAAAAAAAAAAGTTTTATTATAATAGCCATGCTCATTTGTTTACATATATTGCCTCTGGCCATTTTCATACTTCATTGGCAGAGATGAATAGATGCCACAGAGACAACATGGCTTGCAGCGTCTAAAATATTTATTATATAGCTCTTTGAGGAAAAGTTTGCTGACCTCCGGTCTTGCCCCTGTGCCATCTATTAGTGATAAACCAAGGGTCTGCATCAGGAATGGCAAATAAGCTTTTTCTTCATGCTGGCTGAGTTTGATCAGCCGTGCCTGGCTGGAGTACTGCCTTTGGAAGGATTCTGGGACCCTCTATGGACCCCAAAGGGATAGGTGCTGTGACGGGTTGTCAGTGTCTGCCTGGGTGTAGGAGGTGAGCAGTAATGACATGTAAGCCACATACATACGTGCTGTCCCTGGTCCCAAGTGTGTTCATACCATCTCTCATGATAGTGACCATCTGCTTGCTGCTTTCTCTCTGGATAGATTCTTCATAAGCTGAAAAACCCTTATGGCAGAATTATTACATTTATTGAATCGAGTCTTAAAATAGATATTATAGGGAATTACAGAGGAAGAAGACAAGGATCTCTTGAATGATTGCTCCTCCCCACTTCAACCTCCCTTCCCAGAAATCCTAAGGAAAATACAGGGAAGGAGGAATGGACCCAAATGAAAACTGATTTCCCTTCTGGTCTTTCTTTTCCCTCTCCAACTCTCCGTTCTGCTCTCAGTGAGGATCTTCTTAAGCCCTGCCCCTGCCATCCTCTGCCTTACTGGCTTCCTATTGTCTTCAGGATTGAGGTTCAACTACTTCAGTTAGCTGACAGGAGTTTCAACATCTAGCTGTTACCTTCTGTCCTCACTATCCACCCTCCCCGTGTCCCAGTCTCCCATTACTCCCTTCCAAAAACCTAGAGTGGCAACCAGACTGAATTCTCTTTCTCTAATTACATTATAATAGTGCAGAGCTCTACCATATCCCTCCCCTTGTGTGTGTTATTATGGCTTTTAGACACCCCCACCTTTGCCCCTGTACTTCATCTGACTTAATTTATTATTTGATACTGAAATAGTTTGTATGCCTGTCTCCTTCCCAAGGCTGAGGAGCTCCTTTTATTGTGGAACTCCAGTGTTCAGTAGAGTGCGTAAGTGTATTGTTAAGTGTTTATTGGTGTTTGTTGGGCAGGTGACACCCGGGGCCAAAATGACCTATTTGTGTTTTTTCTCCTAGGCCACATAAGAATTTGCCCTTAAACAGATAAGCGTGTGACAGCTATAGTGTATTCCTGCAGTCATTTTCAGCAAACATATAACTCAGTAAAAAATTGGAGTAAGTCATCTGAACTGGCAGGGTCGGGTACTAGATAGGTTCCCTACATAGACAGGTACCTAGATGTACAGGTCTCCCTCTGCCCTGCCCCTGTTGTTGTTTTTTAAATCAATTTTATTGAGGTACGATTTGTGTAAAAATTGTACTCATTTAAAGTGTACCGTTTGGTGAGTTTTTACAAATGTGTATAATCCCTGAAACTGCCTCCACAATCAAGGTAAGAACATTTCTATCACCCCTAAAAGTTCACTTCTGTCACCTTTGTAGTCAAAACCTGACCCCTTCCAGCCTTAGCAAACACTGACCTGCTTTCTGTCAGTAGATGAGTGTGTATTTTCTATAGCTGCACTGTTCACTCTGGTAGTCAGTAGCTATTTGGGGCTATTGAGCTCTTGAAATGTGGCCAGTGTGACTTAGGAATTAAATTTCAAATTATATTTTAGTTGAACTTAATTGAATGTTTAATTGTATTTAATTATACCTTACTTAACTTTAAATTTAAATAGCTACATGGAGGTAGTGATTACTATTTGGACCAGCATATCTTTGATCCAGTTAGAGTTAATTTTTGTGTATGGTGTGAGATGAGAACGTCATTGGTCTTTTTTTTTTTTTTTTTAATAGCTGTCTAGTTGTTCAGCACTATTTGATTCCTTTTCCCATAGAATTTGCTTTAGCACTTTTGTCCAAAAATCATTTGACCCCTTATTTGTAGGTCAATTTCTGGACTCTATTCTAAGTCCATGATTTATGTGGCTGTCCTTTCGCCAATACCATAGTGTATAATAATCTTCCAACTTAAAAAAATTGTTTTGACTATTCTAGGTTATTTAGGTTTTCACATTCAGTTTTGAATTAGATTGTCAAAATCTGTGAAGAGGACTGCTGGGATTATAATTAAGACTTCATTGAATTATATCATTTTGGGGGAGAATTCACACCTTAACAAATGTTGAGTCTTCCAATCCATGAACATGGTATATCTCTCTATTATTTAGGTCTTCAGTTTCTCTTAGGTAGTATTTTGCAGGTTTTAGCATAGAAGCCTTGCACATCTTCTGTTAAACTTCATTCTTTTTCTTTCTTAAACTATACGTTTTCATCTGCATATTGGTTTAGCTGCATCCTGCCTCTGCTTTTATTTTTCCACATAAGGGAAGCACATAAAATAGGACATGGCCAACTGCAGCTATAGCTGAGCTTCTGGAATAATGGATAGGTTCAGGGGAATAGGTGTATCCGAGAACAACTTAAGCGTAACTCTTTTGTATTTTTGATACGTGTTTTTTGTCTTTATACTCTGTTTTGAGAGGCACGTGATAAAATCCAAGACATCCATAGTATGTTTCCCCTCTCTGGCATATTTAATAGATGAAATTTAGAACATAGTAAACTTCCACAAATTGGATAACTTTTATATATTACTTTTAAGTGCCCTGAAACAAGATTTCTTTGGTTGAGAAATGAAATAATGATCGCCAGTGGTGTTTGTCTCATTGGCTGTGGTGGAAGGGAAACTGGTGTTACTTCTTCTAGGCCTTCCTCCTGCCCCCTTTTTGGGAATCTCAGAACAACTGCCCTTGTTATGATCCACAATTATAAATCAGTGGAAAAATCTTATCTGCTCTTTAAGCAGCACAAACAATGAAACCTCAGATGTGTTTGTTTCTTCAAAGTGAATTACTTTTGACAACCTTGGCAGTCAGCTCTATAGATTTTACTGCTCTTTTCCAAATTCTTTTCATTTATTGTAACATGAAAAAAATTATTACCATGTGATACTGTAAGATTTATGCATAATAAGAAACACTACCCTAATGATGATTTAACCTTGCAGTAAAATATTCAACCCTAAAATATAAGGTAAGAGTATTTCTGTGTCAGGAAATTTAGCAATAGATTTATTTGCTGAGTCATTTTTTAAAAATTACTAACTCCTAAGAGCCTCATATATACAGTAGCTCTCTTTTTTATTACAAGACAATATATGATCATTATTAGGAAATTAGAATAAGTAGATAAGCCAAAAGAAGAAAATAAACTCCTACTCATGGCTTACCATTGTTAATTTCCTTGTATATGTCCTTTCAGGCTTCTTAAAATTATGGCTGAGAAATGTACATGTTTTTAAAATACTTTTTTTTTCATTTGTTGCAAAACTCTTTTATGTCCATAATGTCAGTATTGTTTAAATTACCATTCCTAATGGCAAAGGTAATATTCAGTTGTTTGCATAGGCCCTGTTGTTATGTATGTATATTGCCCCCCAGCTTTTAGCTGTTATAAAACACATTGCCATGACCATTTCTTTAGCTTAATCTTTGCCTTTTTTTTTTTAAGATTTATTTTCTTTATTTGAGGGAGAGACCATGAGCGAGGGGCAAAGGGAGAGGGAGAGAATCTCAAGCAGACTTCGTTGAGCACGGAGCCCGACTTGGGGCTCGATCTCACAACCCTGAGATCATGACCTGAGCCAAAACCAACAGTCGGTTGCTCAACTGACTGTGCCACCCAGGCACCCATAATCTTTGCTTTCGTTACCATTGGATAAATTCTAGAAATGTCTGCAGTGTCTAGGTTAAAAGGTAAGATGTTTAAAGACTCGGATGCACAGAGTCACATTACTCTCCAGAAGAGTTAAGTCATTTTACTTTCCCACCAGCAGTGTTTGAGAGTGCCTGCTTCTTATCTGTGGGCGTTACTATTTTACAAATAATACTCTTAAAGATCCTTCATGCGAAAACAGCAGTGAATGAAATTAAATCTCTCTTGAACTCATTGAGAAGGATTCTTGATCTTTATGAAAATTGACAACCTTTTCGCGAAGTTGCCTTTAAAAAAACACACAAGCTTTAAAAAAATCACTCTCCTCTCTCTTTTTTTGTCAGAGAATTTTAGACATAAAGGTAACTTTTAAATCTTCTAGGCCAGTGGTTTAGTGCTGTGTTTGGAAAGGATTGTGACCCATTAGTGACTGTGAAGTCATTTTAATGGATTTTGACTTTGTTTTGATGAAATTTAGAATAGAAAATGTCAGCCTGCATTGTATGTAGTAATGATAAGTTTAGGTATGTGCGTGCGTGGGTGCGTGTACATATTTATCTACATAGATGAATGTAGAGATTATTACTAAAATGTGTTTCTGCCTCAAGGTCATGGTCAAAACAATGTGCAACGTTCAGTAGTCTTTCCCTCTACACCATATTGTCCTTTTATAAATGATTTATTTAAAAAAGAAGTAACTTCTGATTAGCATTCTATTTAGAAGGAATACTTTATTTACTAGCTTTTTCATATTTTTGTTTTACAGTGATAGGTGAGGGCTCTCAGGCAGATACGAGACCAGCCCTCGTAGGCTCTGGATGTCATAAAAGATAATACTAAATATAAAATCTAACATGAAGCATATTTTGTTATATGCATAATGTTTAGCAAGCACTGACAGTTGACAAGTTATAGGGTCAGTCATCTCTTCGAGTCCGCTCTCTGTCCCTTAATGGCTAATGCTTTGAACTAAGTGTCTCTGAGCCTTCATTCTCTTATTCATCAAATGATATCATAGTTTCTACCTCATAAGATTGTTGCAAGGTTTAAATAAATATGATGCCTGGTATGTATTACACTCAGAACAACTTGCAGCTTTTATTTTTGATGCTGATTACATTTAAAACTCAGTACCATGTCATGTGTGCACAAGTACATGTCTGTGTGGATGTGGACGGACTGTGGTGTATATCTCCATGTCTAACCAGAATATCCATCCATACTCCCTCTGTTTTTTGTTTTGTTTTGTTTTGTTTTCCCAGGGTTTCCTAGTCTTGAACTACTGGCTACATGGCTACCAAATGCCTAAGGGAGTTCTTCACAGCTGAGTTAAGAAGCTGGAATTGGTTCTAGACGCTGGGTAGATGCAAAGCAGCCTAACTCTTCCAAGTACCAACATTTCTCACCTCCGATTCCGGCCTCTACTTTGAGAAGGATACCTTAGCTTCACCGACTTCCAGTAGAACAGAAGCCCATTTCCTCCCCCATCAGTGAAAAAAAAATCTAATGCTTCAAATGTAAATTGTTCATATAAAAGGAACGTACAGTCTGTTTTACAGAAGTAAATCGACCATCAAGAGAAGACTGGCCTCTAATTTATATTGCTTTGCACTTTGGTCTGATATTAAGAAACAGCATTCTTCTTTGGTGAAATTTTGGGTGCCAAACACCTACCCAGAATGTCCAGGGCTTTCCTTTTCAGAAGTTAGCATTCTCCTTTTGACCGTCCAAGTCATTATGAATTCTGACCTGTATTAGGAACATGTTGGACAATGGAAAAATTTCTCTGGATTGTTTTAGTAATATTTTTTGGATTATACTTCCTTTCTGTACCAATTTCTTTTAATTTAAAGAACTATAAGCCAGGTTATATTATCTCCCAACAGGTAATATAGCTCTTTTCTTTTATTAACTATTCTGTCTGTACCCCAGCCATCTCCTGATATTTGGTAGAGTAACACTTTTACACGTGTGCTTGCCTCCTAATTTAAAATACTGTATCCGCATGTAGATATAATGTACATAACAGTTTAACCTCAAGGTTGCTGGAGTCAGGGCCCCTGTGCCTGAGACACTAATACAGAGTGTGTTCGCACTTAGCCATGGGCTGGGCTCAAGAACCTGATACCAGGGTTGATGTGGATTACCTAGGACCCTTCCTGCAGTATTCATATGATATTTTTATTTTGTCATTGTCATTTTGTGTGTATGTGTGTGGTGTGTGTGTTTTTAATGGGAATCTTGTTTTAAAATGTAATTTCTAAAGTTTAACACAAAATGTTTTATTCGTTGTGTAGCATATATAATAGAGAGGTACCTTAACATTTTTTTGTTTTTCTTTTCGTCATAAATACTCCTGAGTACTAGTGGTCACTTCCCATGGTATTCATTTGACTTTACTGTCAAAGATCATTATTCTGTGCATTAGTACTAACCCTGGAAAGGGAGGAACAAGAAGGCCCTATTGACTGGGTTTCGTGGCTCTGGAATGCATGCATCCTAGCATGGATGTCGCATCCTCGCCAGGGTGTTAACAAGGCCTGCTCATAATGTTGGAGCCCGTTACACCAGGTCAGGTTGGTTCAGAGGCCCATCTCCAGTGGAAGGGTACTCCTATGTGGTGTAAAGCTTCAAGCTCATGAATCCCATTCCCGTCATCTCTGGTGTCACCTGCTGCTGTGGCCCTGGCAGGTTCTCCAAACTCCCAAGTGCTCTGCAGCCCGAATGTGTGAATGGCACTATCACGCTGACCGTGCACGGAAAGGACTTTGGCATTCGGTTGGCACTCCTTTTCCCTTGTTCAATATTAGGTTCTGATTTGCCCCTTGCCATTGTTTCCAAAGATTAAGGAATGTCAGTAACATTTTCAAGGACCAATAAGAACCTCCTGTTGACTAAACCTCTTCCCGTGGAAGCACACTCTACTACTAAAGGGAAGGGCCCTGGGCTCTGTTTTGTCCTTTGCATTGAGAACGGTGTGGGGATCAATGTGTGTGTATGTGATTTGTTTCTTGGGTTGGCTTGGCTTTTTAGTTTTTCTTTTTCCTTTTCTAAAAATACATCCTTCCCTCCCACATGGTACCAAATTAATTTCTATTTTTGAGCAGTTGAGTCTCCAAGTGTAAAAAAAAAAAAAAAATAAGGAAATCTCTATTTGTGAGGTAGATGTTGTAAGCTTGACAGTGGTTGTGGAAGTGAGTTAACTTTTACCACTCTCCACATGACAGCTTTATATCAAACTGGTTAGGAGGGCCCAGGGGTGTGGGAGGGGCGGGGGGAGGAGGCAATTCTTCTGAACGAATGGACTTTTTGTTGTTGTTTTTGCATGTTTAATATAGAAGTTCTTGTTCCTTGGGAGATCATGGCCTTCGAATATGCACACAACCTTTGAATTGTGCCTACTAAATTATAGCAGGGGACTTTGGCACCCAAGGAATTCTGACTTTCTGGGATTATAGTAGTAATTCCCAGCCGTACCCTGGACTTTATTTTGCTAACCATAATTGAGCAACTGTAAATTACTGCTATATTAATGTTTTAAAGCACTGGGATAGTCTAATTCTAACTTGTAATTAATTATGTTTGCCAATTATCTGTTTGAAATAAATTTGTGTCTGAACAGCTATGGAAACTGTTAAATTGTACAGATATTATTCATGACAGCTTTGTACTGTGGAATGTGCTTAATAAAAAACAAAAAGTTTGACTTTTGTCCAATAAATTGCTAAGTAATGTCAATAAATCAAGTATGAGTATTATGCAGTACACCTAATCTGGCTTCATGCAATTGTTACTTCAGCTACTAATTCAAAGCCAATACTCTTAATAAAGTGTTGCAATACTCTGATGCTCTGTTAAGAAATTTTTCAAAAAACTGTTACGTTCTTTCAGTAATTCATTGACGTACCATTAAGGTTGGTAGTTCTAAAAAATCATCTGCTCTGTAAAGTGGAGTTGAAAGCAGACTGCTTTCTGGCTCTTAGAGGGTTTGTGTGCGAGAATGCCAGTGCCTGCCTGGGGGTGTTTCGCTGAAAGCTCGCTTTCACCTCTGGACCTGGGAGCTAGCTTCCCATAAGTTCTTAACTGCTTCCCGGGTTACTGGAAAAATAGGAAGGGGGCCCCTTTGGTGTCCCGAGTGGCTCTGAGGGTGAGCGGATCCTCTGGGTCCCGAAGGAGCAGGTGGCGGTGTGAGAAGTGCCCTTGCTGCCTGCCCCCTGTGAGCGGTGGACGTGGGATCGTCCGTTTCCCACGCTCGCAGATGCGCACGTCACCGGTTGAGGACTCTAGCGGGAGAAATGCCATTTGCGTGTGCAGGGTTCTGCTCCGAAGTAGTAGCAGAGGTTTCCCGGTAACTGGCTCTCCCCCCATGAGTCCACCAAATTGGTAACGTGGACCTTGGGCATGAGAGTACTTCTATACAGTGTTGCCTCCACCCGTTTTTCTCGTAAATGTTTTAAAAATAAGTAATACGCGTATGGTTAAGAGAACCTCTTTGCAAGCCATAAGAAGACTAAAAAGTGATACTTTCACCCTTGACCTTCAGTCCCCCACTCATCATCATCCAGTTTTTTGTATATCCTTCGGCAGTGAGTAATAGTCTGTGTATAGCAGGCTATGTGTATGTATACATCCATGTGTATATTATACACGTACACACCCCACCCCACCCCTTCTAACGGCAGCGGAAGCATGCTATACGTGCGGTGCTGCGCTTTGCTTTTTCATCTGTTCATAAGGAAATCCCTCCGTGTCCGTGCATGTGATTCTGCCTCCTTCGTGGGCACGACCGTGTAATAGTGGTTACCATAATTTATGTACCAAGTTCCTTGAGGTGGAGTTTAGGTTGTTTCTTGCCTTTTCCTATAGCGACTATCATCTTTCACAGCTCTCTCTATCCCTGCCTGTGCTAAGTGTGAAAAACCACTGGGATTTTGGGCTCATCATGATGAACAGATGTTGAGCCCAAACACTGCTGCAGAGCGGGAAGGACCTCAGGTGTCAGGTGGTCTTAAGCTCTCCGGTCGCCTCCGACCCTCACAGAGTTGGTGTTCAGTAAATGATAGTTTCTTTCTTCCCCAACAGGTGAGGTGTTAATGCAAGAAATTAACAGCTACAAATGCATCCCGTATCGATTATGGAGATTCTAAGAGAGGTTTTGTAGAACTCTTTGGATATATAATCAGAGGATAGAGTGGTGCTTTGCCATTTCAGCCTGTTGGTTTTCTAGTTAATAAGGAGAAAGGAAGTTGGACCATCTGGCTAATAATCCTGTTACTAATTAGCTGTGTGGCAATACCCCCTTTGGGGTCTTAGCTTCTCCATGTATAAAAGAAGGTGTCACTAGCTCAAGTCCAGGAGGGCACATGCCCCAGCTCTGGATGATCTGTTGGCTTGCAGGAATGCAGACCCAGTAATGCCAGGTCTAAATTTTTAAGAAAAACTGAAAATCCAGTTTATGTAGAGACCCAATTTATAAAAGTTGGCAACTTTTTTTTGTGGGGGGAGACTTCTTAAATTCAATCACTGGAGCACCAGTTTGCTATCCCTGAACCAACATGATGTTAAGCATTTCTAGTAGTGACCTCTTGAAATATTGTGTCTAACTGAACACTTGGAGAATAGAAGAGATTCCAGAGAAAAGGGACAAATTGAATGGTATGCCTTGTGACAAAGTGACCAGCACACAGAATGTCTCAATACATGTTTCTTTAGGAAAAATGACCAAACAAGGGAGGGGTTTGAAAAGGCAAGAGGAGGAGGGGGAAGGAGCCAAGAGCTGGCAGCCACCGTCTCCAATCCCATTGTGAGTGTTTAGACCAGCTGCCTGAGCTTGTGCTGGGACTGAATTCACGTTACAGCAAGGCAGGCTTGGGGCCCAGGATCGACTTGGTCTTCCAGCTGGAGGAAATTCTGGGAGCTCCAAGACCTCCAAGATCCTGCTTTTTGTTGCCGAAAGCTGGGTCTAAGACCTCATAAACACTCAAACTTGGATGTGGGATGACTGCGTACATGGCTATCTTCAGGTGCTTATCTGCCCAAAGATGGGGTGATGGACCCCACACACGAAATGCACTGAAATCCTAATCCAGTGTTTAAAAATTTTTATTGGTTAGGTGTAGCCATGTGAAGGAATTATAGTGCATGTCTTAAGTAACTTTTTTGTGTGTGCAAGTATGGTAAACTGGAAAGCAGAATCCTATAAATGGAGTTGTATTGTTGATTGCTTTCAACTTTGTGGCTTTTTACTCATCCTGTCTCCAGGTTTTACTTAATTGTATTTTTCAGAGTAGGTATGTTGTTGGACTGGCCTGGGAGTGACAAGACCAAAGACTTAATCTGTAGTGGGACATGCCCGAGGAACAGCCTAAAACTGGCGTTCTGGCAGGATCTCACAGAGTACAACTTAAGCTCCCTCCACCCTTTATCACCATCTTTGGATCCAATGGACCTTTCTGTTCTTGCGTGTGTTTTCCTTCCAAATACCCTGCGGCTCTGGGGGTTGAGAAGGAATGCTCTTAGAACACTGCAGACTTTGGGACTTGGTATCACGCCCAGAGATATCCTGTGGGGGCACCGGCCTACTGGATGGCAGAGAGGAAAAGAGCATGAGCTTTGGTGTCATCAGACCTAGCTTGAGATTGGAGCTCTGCCTCCTAACTGGCAGCAGCCCCGGGAGCAAGGACATTCTCTGCCTTGAACCTGAGCTTCCTCGAAGTGGAGACAGTATTTTAAAATCACTTTAAGAATTAAATGACATAACCTAAAACGCTGTGTCTAAAATCTAAATTTAGATCTACTCAAAGCACTGTACCAGTATACCTTCAATGCCGGGTGTTTTTGGTAGCTTCTACTGTGGTTTTTAAGCAGATGGTACAGAATGTCCAGAGCGGAGAAAGGTATAGTAAAGGTTAGGGCTCAGGATGGTGTGAGATGAGACAAAAATCAAATGTGCTCCGGCAGCCTGAGGCCCGTCTGGGCCTCTTGAGGGGCAACACAGGAGCTGACGCTCGGAAGGACGCTGACGGTCCCCAGCGAGGACGTTAATGACCTGGGCTGCTCAGTGGGTGCAACTGAGGGAGAGGGACCAGATGAACAGTACCTACGCCAAGTTACTTTTGTTAGTTTTTAAGAATAATCCAGCTTTAAAAGTAGTCAGCTTATATCCTCTGGGGGTATTGCTGGGAAGAGGATGAGACCTCAACATGCCAACAGGTTCTGTGAATTGTGTCTCCCAAGTGGACAGGCGAGAATTTCACATCTTCAGCGTGCGTGTGCATGAATGTGTGTGTGTGTGTGTGTGTGTGTGTGTGTGTAGGTGGTGGGGCGGGGAGAGGGGGGGGCAATGCAGGGAAGAGGGTGGTTCAACGCCAACAACAGCGACAACAAGAATAAACATACCCACCGAATAGTGAGTGCCAGGCCTGCTGGGAATGGCTTTACACATGTTGTAATCCTCACAGAAGCCCTGTGTGGTGTATGTTAGGACCACTTGACAGCTGAGGAAACTGAGGCCCGGGTCTGTCTTGCTTGTGAGCAGCTGGGCTTAGCCTTGATTCCAGCCTGTCTTGGCTGCCACCGCTGACCTCTTACCGCGCGGCCCTCGCCTCTCCCTCTCCATGCTCCCTGGCCACCGTGATCCGCAGTGTCCCTGAGGAGCCAGGCCTCCTATTGAGCAGTCCCCTTGCATGAACAGACCCTCTGCACATCTTTCCTTCCCGCTGGTGTGTCCCGGGCATGCATTCTTTGGTCATTAATACGTGTACCTGTGCCTTCAACAATGCACAAAGTTTGGTAGGGTGCAAGGAAAGGGCAAGACGGGTGCCAGGGGCCCAACTGTGGCCATGCTGAGCAGTGGGGGCTCTCTTCTGGCAGCGGTGGGCAGCCACTGGTGGGTTTGAAGCTGGGGCTGACCAGTGAGAAGGCTGGGGTCAAGATTCAGGAGAGAAATGTTGAGGTCCAGAATAAGGCAAAACACTGAGGAGGTGGGGGAGGGCGGTTTTGGGGGCGGTTGAGGGAGGAGCAGGTGCTAGCGAGGCCGCCACGGTTGGGCGTGTGTGTGTGTGTCTGTGTGTGTCTGTGTGTGTGTGGGTCTCCTGTGCGCCACTAGGTGGGGCTGTAGGGAAAGGAGACCCGCCCCTGCTCTCAGGAAGCTTCCCGTCAGAATAGACAACACACGGTGGTTGCTACAGTGCGCGCGCACCCATGAATTCACGGGCTCAGTCCTGATGGTCGTAAGGGCCGTGAAGAGATGGCGCCTTGCAGCAGGTGCAGCGGACTGCGGGGCATCTGAGCCAAGACCTCAGTGATAAGCAGGAGCCAGCGGGGGAATGTTCCAGGCTGGGGGAACACAGAGGCAAAGGCCGTGAGGTGGGTAGGCCCGCCCTGAACAAATGGGCAGGAGGGGCGCTTGGTCCCCCAGGTAAGGGAAGGAGGGCTTGGGTAGAAGGGTGACACGTTCGGATTTGGACATTGCAGGTGCCTGAGCCGATAGTCGAGTGAAGCCACTTTGGCCTGTCTGGAGAGAGGCGAGGGGTGGCGTTCGAAGAAGAGCCCAGACGGAGTCAGGAAGAACGTAGCATTTAGGATGGGGGCACGGGGGGGACAAGCCGGCGACAGAGGCGGAGAAGGAAGAGCGGGAAAGGTAGGGGCGTGATACCCGGCAGTCTTGGCAGGGCGGGCGGACGCTCCGAGAACTTGGAAAACCTTCTCTAAACAGTTGCCTCCGCGCTGCCCGGGCCTCCTGGGGAAAAATGCCTGTCCCCTCATCGGGCTGCAGGACACCTAGTCCTGCTTCCCCCTTCTTCAGCTCAGCGCCCCGTGCTCCTGATGGCCAGGCTCCGGCAGCAA